ACATAATTACATCGCCAGTCCTTATGGGTTTGTTTGGTAAAGAGTCGATTTCGCTAGGTTACCCAAGCTTGTAATACTCCTGCCTCCTGATCTCAAGTAGCTTGGGTTACAGGTATGTGCTACCATGCCCAGCAAAACACAACACTTTAAACTTGAGCCATTCCTCAAAGCATAGTCCTCAGTTCTTCAGTTCTTCTGGGACGTTAGGCAGTGGTTCCAGAATCTGTGGTCCTTGGCTTCCACTTCTCTTTGCTCCTATCTAGAACGGGACTGTTCCTTCCTCTGCAACTCATGCTAAGAAAGCCAAACCTTATTGAGCTCAGCTTGGCTCTGGGAGACTCTCATAGTTGGTTAACAGATACAGTGATCCCAAATGATCAACAATTATATCATATTGGCCCTGAGATAGCTTGGCAGTTTTCACCAACTCTGTAACCTCCCAAAGGTAGATTTGATCAGATGGCGCTATGAGAGCCAGGGCCTGGCATCAGATGGAGAAGGGGTGTTCTGCATTGTACCAGCAAAGCTGAGGAAAACGGACATTTCTGTTCACACAGAGCATTGGGAACTGGTTCTCACCCTGTAAGTCACCATAGAAATCATCACTGTGCCCAGGAAAAGGCCAGCTATCTGGGAGTGGAAGCTTACAATTTCAAAACCACTTAACGGGATGTCTAAGTTGATATTCTTGTGTAGCCACTGGATGGCAGAATTTGGACATTTGATTACTGTTGGATGGTACTAAGGGTTTGCACTAATAGTGTAGAATTGTTTACATAGCTAAAGCTTTGAGGGTGTTTGGAAAATTTGAAACTTAAATAAGCATGGAAAATTAGTTTTGTTTACCCAGAAAACTAGGGATGTGAAGTCACAAAACTCAAGCACTGAGAATTTGAACTTGGAGCTGAGCAGTCTCTGTATTCCTCTTAGAAAAGAACTCCACAACCTTGAACAATGTCTCTGGACCTCAGTGAACTCAAATGCAAAATAGGATGGTTTTGATAAGAGGTTGTCTCTAAAGCATCTTCTGGCTCAGATATTCTCTTCTACATTATTTCATATCTCAGCTTGATATATATATGAGAACTCAAAGAAACACCTTCTAAGTTATTACTCAGGAAACACCAACTGACATTCATAAATGCTGCTATTAATTGAGAACCTACTAGGTGCCAGTACTAGACCAAACCTATTATGAGTATTACCTAATTTAATTATCCTTATCATAATATTAATATCCTAGATTAGGAAAATGAAGCTTCAAGATGTTTGTTAACCCAAATCATACAGCTAATGGCCAAACTGTTGTTTGCCCATTACCTTGCATGTACCTTGCTGTGTTTCATCCTTTGGTTAGCTGAGAAAAACATAAATATGAAGACAGCATTGCTGCTGGAGGAAATACTAATTCTGCATATTTAAACCCCTCGCTTCTCCAAGGGAAACTGACTTTCATTATACATTTTTAAGGGGTACATTTTAAGATGTACATGGCTCTATCCTTCTATTGGTTTTTATTTTGATATTTTTTGTTTGATTTTTTGATTTGGTTTTTGTGCTGGTACTGGGACTTGAACTCAAGTCCTAGGCACTGTCCCTCAGCCTTTTCTGCTCCAGGCTAGTGCTCTATCACTTGAAGGACAGCTCCATTTCTCCCTTTTGGTGGTTAATTGGAGATAAGAGTCTCATAGACTTTCCTGCTTGGGCTGGCTTTGAACAATGATCCTCAGATCTCAGCCTCCTGAGTAACTGGGATTGCAGGCGTGAGCCACCATCATCTAGCTTCTATCCTGTTGTCATTAGATACCTCTTTGGGAGACTAGCTGCATTCCAGACACATGGGCAACCAGGGGACTCCGTGTCCTATCAGTCACCTGTTTTCTCAGGAACAATGTCGTTTCAAATGTGCCTGAAACAATGGCACCAGGTATTTGCAAGGACTCTTTTTAGGACTGGGACTATCTGATGGTGTGTCCATAATCTAATACAGCGTCTAATGTCAGCAGGATTGAGGTTGTTGGGTAAACAGTGTTTCTCTACCATTTAACTGTGACAGTAAAGAAACACTATACAGGTGATTGTCACAGGTTGTTATTGGATTAACAGGTGACTTTCCAGACACCAGAGGCTCATGCCTATCATCCCAGCTATTCAGAAGGCTAAGATCTGAAGGTGCTGATTTAAAGCCAGCCCAGACAGTAAAGTCTATAAGACTCTTATCTCCAGAGAACCACATAAAAATAGCCTAAAGTGAGCCAGGCACCGGTGTCTCAACACCTGTAATCCAGCTACTCAGGAGGCTGAGATCTGAGGATCGGTGCAAAGTCAACCCAGGCTCATATCCAATATACTACTCAGAGAAAGTCAGAAGTGGCACTGTGGCTCAAGTGGTAGAGTGTTAAACTTGAGCACAAATAGGCTCAGGGACAGAGTCCAGGCCCTGAGTTCAAGCCCCAGGACTGGCAAAAAAAAGTCCTAAAGTGGAGGTGTAACTTAAGTGTTAAGAGTACCAGCATTGAGAAAAAAACTAAAGCATAGTGCCCAGGCCCTGAGTTAAAGCTCTGGCACCTCTACACACACACACACACACACATACACACACACACACACACACACACACACACACACACACACACACACACACACTACATCTTTCTCTTGTAGCCAGGAAAGTTATATAATAGCTTTGTAACAAATGTGTTAATTCACAAGAGTGGTCCTATTGTCTGGAGTTTGAAGCCCCCTCTAGGAAGTTATTCTATACACACAGAGGCAAGTATCTCTGGCAACTTGGAAACCATCAATTTGAAGGTAGGCAGAACGAACTGTAATTCTTCAAGTGGACAATAGATGGCAGTACATCATCAATTTATGTCTTACAGCTAAAGCTGATCTCTAGGTTTCATTAAATTACTTCTCATGTCCTTTATCTCTGAAGCAAGAATTATGGGGTAAAGAAATGCATTTAATTTGCTATATACTGCATTATATATATCAATATATTTGAAGGGGCTGAGTAGCATTAGGAAAACTCTAGGCAGACTTATAGGATGTGGATGAAACTTGAAGTTCAAGGCCATATCCAAGGTCTTTAAAGGGACTCAGCACTGTACACTTTTGAAAAGTAAGATTTTTTTTTTGTTCTTCATGAATGCATTTTATATAAGCTTCAAATCTCACAAAGTTTGAACTTCTCTGAGAATGGCTGTGTGGCTCCCTTAATTTAAGAAAAGAAAAATAGGAAAAAACTCAGGGCCTGAATTTTTTTGCTTAAGGCTAGTGTTCTACCACTTAAACCACCTCTGCATCAGGTTTTTGGGTGGTTCATTGGAAATAAAGAGTCTCACAGACTTTCCTGTCCAGGCTGGAAGTCCGGTCTGGCTAGAACCCTGATCTTCAGATCTCAGCCTCCTGGGTAGGTAGAATTATAGGCATGAGCCACCAGTCCCTGGCAGTATTGCTTTTATAATATAAAAATTGTAGAAAAACAAAAAGAAATACTTATTGCTAATATATTTTCACATTTTACATAATTCAAAGAATAAAAAAAAACAAATATGCAAGGTAGTATTCCCCAGATTATGCTCATCTCTTATACACTTTCTTTGGTGATATTATCTCATTGATGCACACGCTCCTTGACTTTTAAATAATTAATGCTTTGTATTGTTTTCCTTCTCATCCTTGGCACGTGGTAGGAACTTCACAAGAATATCCATTGCTTCTGTGAAGCAGTGGGGCCTTAAAGTTTTAGTTCTCTTTCTGCTTCATTGACAGGCTTCATGCAAATCTTGATCTTAGGATCTTAGGGCTGGGGTGTAGCTCTGTAGTAGGGCATTTGCCTAGCATTTGAGGACCTGGCATTGATCCTCCGCACTGTAAAAACAAAACAACAAACAAAAAAAATTGACTTGTTCTAGCATTTTTCTCATTCCTTCCTTCCTTCCTTTCTTCCTTCTTTCCTTCCTTCCTTCTCTCTTCCTCTCTTCTCTTCCTGTCTTTGTTTATTTTTCCTTCCCTTTTTTCTTTCTTTCCAATATTGGGGTTTAATCTCAAAGCTTCTAGCTTCCACTCCATTTTTTCCACTCATAATTTATGTTCTACCACTTAAGCCACACCTCGATTTGTTTTTATGCTGGTTAGTTGGAAATAAAAGTCACAAGAACTTTTCTGCCTGAGCTGGCTGGCTTCACACTGAGATCTTTATATCTCAACCTCTTGAGTAAGTTGGAGTACATTACTCCCCATCCTATCTGGGGCAGCATCTCACAACATGACTCGGGCTGGCTCAACATCGTAATCTTTCTACCACTTTTTGCCTCAACTGGACTTGAACGGTGATCCTTCAGCTCTTCACTTCCTAAGTAGCTAGGATTACAAACAGGAGCCACTGTTTAGCATAAATTAAAAGGAAGGAAAGGAAGCCTCTTGCTGGTGGCTCACACTTGTAATCCTAGCTACTCAGGAGGTAGAGATTGGGAGGATCACAGTTTGAGGCCAGCTAGGCAAAAAGTTAACAGGACCCTATCTCAACCAATAGCTGGGTGTGGTGATATTTGCCTGTCATGCCAGCTACATCACAGACTGAAATTGAGAGGATTGTGGTTCCAGGTTAGCCCAGATCCCCTCAAAATGTTCACTAGACCTCTTTTTTCTTTTTCTTTTTTTTCTCAACAGAAAAAAACAACTGGACTGAGCATTGTAGCTCACACCTGTCCTCCCAGCTACTTTAGAAGACATTCATTGGTTTAGGCTAGACGAGGCGGGAAAAAAAAAAAAAAAAAAAAAAAAAGTGAGAGCCTATCTCAAAAATAACCAAAGCAAAAAAGGCTGGAGGTGCAGCTCAAGTAAACTATCAACCTAGTGAGCACCATACTCTGAGTCCGATCCCCCAAAAGAAAGAAAAGACAAAGAAAAATGAATGGAGAACAATGCCTTTGGGTTTTTTGAATTGCCTGAGTTGTTGATAGCTTATTGACACTACTGTTCCCATTCTGTAGCGCTTTGGATGTACTGGATGGAAGCCAGCAAGAACCCCAGGAATTTCCACTGCACTGTGGGGAGCACCAGGTGTGTCACTCTACAGGAGAGGTGTCTGCTCCTACGCCTGCAGACTCCACCCTGATGAAGAAGGTAAGGCTGCTTTTGTATGCCATTGGCTCCCAGGAATAGACACTTCAAAGAATCCAGCCCTAGGAGGCAGCCTATGTCACCAGACTCTGCTGTGTGCAACATGTACTGGTGTGCAGGCTAAGAAGTGTCTGGATAAGTGAGTGGAATCTTTGCGTCTGCTGTCTGCAGCCTCCTCCTCCTCCCCCTCACAGCCACCTCTTTATCCAGGCTGTGCTTGACCTTGAAGGTGTGCCAGGTTAATACCACACCCAAATGACAGCCAAGGGTTCTTTCCCATCAAAGCACTTTTGCTACAGTAAGGCTCTTGAGAGCTGCTATCATTTTATCACTCTTTGCTTTCTGTTACCCAGATGTTTGTACTGAATGTTGTGAGTTTTTTTGGGGGGGTCTTTTGGGGGGGTGGGGGCGGCGGCTAAGAGAGAGCACAGATAGGGAGGATGAACAAATGCAATCGTGGTACTCAGAATGCTGTGATTTCATATCATTGCCTTAAAAGCTATCTCAAGATGGCAGAAGGAAGTGCGCGCGCACTGCACCCACTCACCCTGGCAAAGATGTCAGGACTCACTCTTTGAGGACAGGGAAGAAGAATAGCGACTTTAGTCACATTGGGAGTGACGGCTAATTTAGCATGCAGGCCTTGAAAGCTATATAATACAGCTTTCCTTTTTTCCTTTCCTTTCCTCTTCCCATAACTCATGACCTGAGTGAGCTTTCGTAGTAAAAGATGTGGTAGATATCCTCCCAGTCAGGAGTCTCTTAAGTTCAAAACTAGCCTTGGCTACATAGTTAGGCTGTCTTGAAACCTCCCCCACCTCCAAAGAGTACAAGATGGAAAGAGTTTTCTGGCTGTTTCTTGTGCAACAATATGAATGTCCTTATATCCGGGAGTTTAGGCTTGCATCTGTAATCCTAGCTACTCAGAAGACTGAGAACTTTGAGGATCAAGGTTCAAGGCCAGCCAGAACCTCAAACTATGGAGCTCCATAGTTAAAAATGGTCAAGATGAGCCAGGCTCATATTCAAGAGGCTAAGATCCAGATTTGATTTCTCACTTTGTTCTTCTCTCTTTATAAGAATTAACTTGAGGGGCTGGGAAGGTGGCTCAGTGGTAGAGCACTTGCCTTGCATGCCTGAGGCCCTGGGTTCGATTCCTCAGAACCACATAAGCAAAAAGAAAAAAGCCGGAAATGGCACTGTGGCTCAAGTGGTAGAGCGCTAGCCTTGAGCTGAAGATCTGAAGGACAGCACCCAGGCCCAGAGTTCAGGCCCCACGACCAGACCCAAAAATAAAAAAAAATAAAAAAAATAAAGAATTAACTTGAGGAAGGGGCTCACGTAGGCCTGGACTAGCCTTAGACATTAATCCTTCTAATTATCTATACTTCTGCCATAGCTGGGATAAAGGACAGGCAACATTCTGCCCAGCCTTTTCTGCTGAGATGGGGTCTTGCAAAGATAAACTTTGACCCCTTGATCTCTACCTCCCAAGTAGCTATGATTACAGACCTGACCCCTAGCATCGGCTGCCCTTTACCATTTGAAATAAAGTAATTCTGGAAGTCTAATACAATTAAACTTGCCATGGTGTTTGTTGAGGTCTAGAAAATAATTTGTGGCTGCATTCCAGACTGGAACAAAAAAGTAAATTTCCAAGCTGGGCACCCCATAGTTCACACCTGAAATCCTGACTATTCAAGAAGCTGAGGATCAGGGCTGGGAAGTTGGCTTAGTGGTAGAGTGCTTGCCTTGCATGCATGAAGCCCTGGGTTCAATTCCTCAGCACCACATAAGCAGAAAAAGCAGGAAGTGGCACTGTGGCTGGAGTGGTAGAGTGCTAGCCTTGATCTGAAGAGCTCAGAAACAGCACCAAGGCCCAGAGTTCAGGTGCCATGACCAACAAAAAAAAAAAAAGAAGAAGCTGAGCATCATGGTTCAAAGCCAGCCCAGGCAGAAAGTTCCTGAGACTCTTATATCTAACTAACCACCCCAAGTCCAGAAGTGAAGCTGTGGCTCAAGTGATATAATACTAGCCTTAAGCAAATAAAGCTAAAGGACAGCATCCAGGTCCTGAGTTCAAGCCCCAGTGCCAGCACCAATAAATATATTTGTTTTCTGCTGGGTGGCAGTGGCTCATACCTGTAATCCTAGCTACTCAGGAGGCGGAGATCTGAGGATCGCAATTCAAGGCCAGCCTGGGCAGGAAAAATCTATAAGATTCTTATTTCCAATTAACCACCAGAAAACTGAAAGTGGAGCTGTGGCTCAAAGTGGTAGAGCACTAGCCTTGAGCAGAAAAGCTCAGAGAAAGCACCAGGACCTGAGTTCAAGCCCCATGACTGACCAAATAAAGAAAATTATTTCCTGAAGATGCTAGCGAGAAAAGGCTGCACGGCCCCCAGCCTTGCTTTGCCAATAGCCATAGCCTCTTCTCAGCACCAATGTACCCGTTCATGGCTCATTTTCCCAGGCTGCAGCCAATAAGCCCTGGGCACTGGGCAGCACACAGGAGAAGGGTCAGAAAGGGAGAAGGAGCCCAGTAGATGTACTGGCAAAGGCTGAGGCTTGGAGCAACAGCCAAGAGAACTTTCCTGCTAGGGTAGGAGGGAAGCAGAGCAGGAGGACGGGCAAGTAGGCAGTGACAGCTGTAATGAGGTCAGCCAGGCAGTGTTTCTTCTCTGTGCAGCTTCACACTCATCCCCGGGGGATGGCCAGATGCCTCCAGCAGGAAGAACTAGCTTCTGGATCTCCCTGTTGTCTTTCTTCCGCTCCTCTCCTACCCTGCCCTCACTTCCCTTCTCTCTCTCCAGCATTCCTTCTTCTTCACTGCCCTGAGACCTGGCTCTCTCACTGTGCTGTCTGTCAGCAAGGGCTGGGGAAGGAGGCCTGCCTCCCCCGCCTCTTTTTTTGGCAGGGGAGGGGATGTCAGTCATGGGGCTTGAACTCAGGGCCTGAGCCCTGTCCCTAAGCTCTTTTGCTCAAGGATAGCAACTCTACCATGTTGAGCCATAGCTGCACTTCTGGCTTTTTGGGTGGTTAATTGGAGAAAAGAGTCTCATGGACTTTTCTGCCCATGCTAGCTTTGAACCAAAGTCTTCAACCTCCCGAGTAGCTAGGATTACAGGCATGCACCACAAGTGCCCAGTTAAGCCACAGACTTTCTTATCCCCTCTGACAGGTTTAACTTCATGTCTTTTAACATCATGACTGAGAGGCCAAGTAGATTGGCAGCTCAAGGTGCCAGATCCTGCCCCTGCCCAGACACCCCCTCACCCATATTACTGGGAAATGAATGTTGGTTCCGCTTAAATTCTCTGCAGATAAAGGGCTAGGGATGTGGCTCAGTGTAGTGAACTTGTCCAACATGTTTAAACTTCTGGGTTAAATCTTCAGCAACATACACACACACACACACACACACACACACACACACACACACACACACACACACACACACACACACACACACACACACACACACACACACACACACACACAGAAAGTGGAGGAGAAAAATTCTGTGGAGTTCATACTCAAGATGAGTGCCAGGGAACCTTCCCTACCCCTCAAATTCTCCTTCTAATTCCCCTTCTCTCAGGCCTTTCCCCCCAGACACCCTCATTCTTTCCCATTGCATGGAGCTAGCCATCTAAGTTATATCTATTTAATAAAACATTACTGTGAATTTTTATTTTCACTAAAGCTAAAACAATTTTGTATTTCCCTAGACAATCACAATTCACTCTCTTTATATTTGTTCTATACATTGAAAATTACTGTGTTTATTTACTTATTGCTTATTTTAGCATGGTGTAACAACAATCCTTAAAGCTGACAATGATATGTTGAATCCTTCCATTAAAAGGAGACATTTCATTCACTTGCTTGTGTACACGGAAATACAGATTCGTAATTACAAAGATAGCATCACCTCTCAATTACATATGTGTAACTAGAGGAAAGCTGTAACTATAAATCACAAAGTTTCAAGAATTTAAGTCTGAGGTGGGAAGGCTTACTGAAAATTGTATAATTATTTATTAAATATACTATATAACTCTTTAGTAATTTTGTGTGTATTGCTGATCCTGGGATTCCCAGGGACTAGACACTCTCCTTGAGCTCTTTTTTCTCAAGGCTAGCACTCTACCACTTGAGCCACAACTCCACTTCTGGCTTTTTGCTGATTAATTGGAGATGAGAGTCTCATGGAGTTTCCTGCCAAGGCTGGCATTGAACTGCATCCTCAGATCTCAGCTCCCTGAGTAGCTAGGATTGCAGGTGTTAAGCCACCAGCACCCAGTTTTCTTTATTAATTTTTAAAGAAGAAAATATGTTGTTTTTTAGGTATTTGATTTCTTCCAGACATTATTTCCTATTAGAGAAATGCATAAGGAGGTTGTTTCATTAGGTGAAAGCATAAATATCATGTGTTATATGTGGCAAGTGTGGTTCTTTCTCTGCATATTAGAGAGTTAACATTGTAGATACTTTGTTGTGTATGTTTTCACATATGTACTTCTATTTATTATGTGAAGTTTACTGATTAACTTATTTTGGAATTAAAATGTCTTTGTTTTACTCTAAAGAAGTATTTCTTGGGCATAAAGCATTTCTTTAAAGAAGACTGAGCAATGAATTACTTGCAACACAGCATTTTCAAAGAGGATAATTCTCTTAGTGAGAATTTTAGTGATTCCCAGCATTAAAAAAAAAACAACTCTTAATCTCCCTTCAATTCTAATTATTTACTTTGATCTAGAAAATTGTATGTGGCAACAGTAAAGTTGTTATATTTTTATATTTTCAATCTTTTTGGACCACTTTCAGATAATGGAATAAATAGCAATTTACATAATTTAATTCAGGGGAAAAACTACTTTTGCTTGAATCATTTGGGCCATTTCTCCTCTTTTGGAGGAATTTTAGATAATTAATTAATTTTGTGCCAATACATGAGTGAGCTCAGAGCCTCATGTTCTCTGTAAGTGTGCTTGCTC